ACCACGTCTAGCGACAATCAACACCACGTCTAGCGACAATCAACACCACGTCTAGCGACAATCAACACCACGTCTAGCGACAATCAACACCACGTCTAGCGACAATCAACACCACGTCTAGCGACAATCAATACCGCGTCTAGCGACAATCAACACCACGTCTAGCGACAATCAACACCACGTCCAGCGACAATCAACACCACGTCTAGCGACAATCAACACCACGTCCAATCAACACCACGTCTAGCGACAATCAACACCACGTCTAGCGACAATCAATACCGCGTCTAGCGACAATCAACATCACGTCTAGCGACAATCAACATCACGACTAGCGACAATCACACCACGTCTAGCGACAATCAACACCACGTCTAACGACAATCAACACCACGTCTAGCGACAATCAACACCACGTCTAACGACAATCAACACCACGTCTAGCGACAATCAACACCACGTCTAGCGACAATCAACACCACGTCTAGCGACAATCAACACCACGTCTAGCGACAATCCACACCACGTCTAGCGACAATCAACACCACGTCTAGCGACAATCACCACCCCGTCTAAAACCCGGAGTACTCACTTTCCATGGTGAATTTGTTGAGCTCGTTGAGTAGTCGAGGCACCAGGTGGGTCCCTCCCTGCTCGTCCTTGAGGTAGCTGATCCTGTCCACCAGGTCAACACAGACCTGGTTCATGCGGTCCACGTAGTCGCACACGGCCTTGGGCCGGAGTTTGGTGGCGAACGTGCTCCGACTCCGCCGCCAGTACTCGTTGTCTCTGTTAAAGGAAGGAGACAAAAATAAAATGGTGAGGTCACGGGTATGTGTGGGAGAACTGGACAAAGGTGTTCACAGGGGTGTTCACAGGGGGTGTTCACAGGGGTGTTCACAGGGGTGTTCACAGGGGTGTCCACAGGAGTGTTCACAAGGGTGTATACAGGGGTGATCACAAGGGTGTTCACAAGGGCAAGGTCAGGGACGTCATGTGGGTAGGGCGGCATGGGGACATTTGCAGATTTTACTTAACGTGGTATGCACTGTGGCGCCCCCAACTGTGGCGCCCCTAGTAATAAACAACTCAACACGTCGGTCAAGTTTTGGTTTTTGCCCTCCCCACCCCCCGCCCTTCTTTGAAAAGAACCAGAAATGACGTTCATAGGAAGGTCCCTTTCTCTTAAAGGTTGTGAAGATTTTTTGCAAATGCTCAAAAAGTCACTCATTAAATTTAACAATCGGGAACCTTCTTCTTCGGTTTGGTTTCGATGTTGCCGTACCGAAATTTTAATTCAATCTTCAAGCTATAAGCCATAAATGGTACCATTCAGTGCTGACCAAAGTCTGGCGTCCGGCAGTTGGTCATCATTCTCACTAGTGCTGACCAAAGTCTGGCGTCCGGCACTTGGTCATCATTCTCACTAGTGCTGACCAAAGTCTGGCGTCCGGCAGTTGGTCATCATTCTCACTAGTGCTGACCAA